CACACACACACACACACACACACACACACACACACACACACACACACACACACACACACACAAATACACACACAGACAACCCGTGACAAAATGCGTTTTGTACTGCTGTTACATAGCACAAAACGCATAAAAAGTTATCTGACGATATTATGGTGAAGCACCAGCGCACTCAAAAAAGATGCACCAAAGTTTTAAATAAGAAAGAAGGAAATGAAAAGCAAAACTTTGTTAGTGCGAGGCAGTCAGCGTGATTTGCTTAATGAAGTCGAGAAGTGAAAAAAAAAACGATCTAAAATGTCATATTTAAGTTGAAGAGGAGGAAAAGAAAATACGTAGACTAAAATGCAACTTTTTGTTGTCAAATGCAAAGTACGCCATTGTGGTGAAAAGCATTGTTATACGACTAAGTAGTTTTAAATCGACAATAAAGAGGCGATGATTTGGAAATCAGGGCTTAGAAATCTGAAACAAAGCTGACTGATCTATCGACAAACATGATGAGGTGAGTTTCTTTTGAGACTTCTGGACCCTGAATTCCAAATCACTGTCTCTTTTCAAAAATACCACAGCACCCCTTTACTTTATTAAAGCGCCAACTTTGGCCTTTGTTCCACAATGAACAGCAAGAAACTCAGAGTTTTAAAGAAAGTTTTATAGTTGCTTAAATGTTACTTACCACAATCGGGTCTAATGAGACAGCTCCCCGCTGAATATAACGCAACATAGCAGTGAAAACTTCTGGCTTAACATGCGACAAAAAGCAAAAATTATCTGCCGCAATAAAATCCAAGACGCCATGGAAGCTCTGTGCAATTTTCGGATACGACTGAAAGAAAGCAAAAAAAAAAAGTTAACGTCGCGCATCAGCTAGACCATACATTTTTGAGCATCTGTTATAGATGGCCTATAATGAGTGGGTATAGGACGAAAATGATGAGCTTTTCGAACCATGATTGTAAATTGATTTAAATCCCAAGAATTATGGCCTGTTCCGTTACGGAGCAGCAGCAATCACCAGAACGGATTTCGTCAGATGCATACTGACAAGTAAGTGGCCCACTCATTTGTGTTACTGCTGCAGATCAGACTGCTAATGATTCAGAGACACTGCCCTGGTACGGCAACTATGGTACTAAATGAATTTGAATCTAAAGCTTAAAACAGGCCTATGCAATTTTGTCGACTAGAAAAGCGAGGACTGAAATGTGGGTCCGCATCGCTCAGCTCGTATTGTGCGTGGAATGTCTGTGAAACATGATTTCCAATTCAGCTTTCCCACAATTTATAACATCAGTCTGATTTGCACCTATGCTTATAAATAACAAAACAAAGTATACTAATTCTAGGTCGAAGCCCTAATACATGATTGGAAGAATTTTAAAATTTCTGTCCTCAAAATCTCTCTAACTTTCACGGGATTGAAATTATTTGGTCAAACATATACAAACAAATAAAAATTTGCGACCTTACCATGACCCATTAAAAAAATTTTGTTAAAAAAAAAAACATCTGGATGGACCTATACGAAAAAAAAATAATCATACAAAGTGACGAGAAATATTTTGATTTTACACTGCTTGAAATGAAGAACGCGTACTTGAAAATCATCCTCTGATATGTACGTGAACAACTTGATAAACAAATCCAAAACATCCTGAAGGCATGAGTCGCCATAGAGGCGCAGTATACCAAAAGGAATGTACGAACCACCTAACGCCACTTTGAGCACCGAAAACATAGCTCCAATATTTTTATACCGCTGCTTGTACGCAATTTCCGGAGAGACTTTAGGTAGCGACAGCATGCGTGTACCTGTAAAGAGAGGAGATGTGGTCGTATAAGCGTGGGAAGATCATCAAGTGCGCATCGGTGGGAACATGGGCACACACGTTCCAAAAAATACTAACAGCTCAGAAGCAAACACTGTTTGATATTTCGCTCCTTAAGCCACTCTGCGAATAGCGCACTCACACTACTGCCGAAAATTGTCAACGCAACTCTTTGAAAAATAAAAAAATCTAAGTAGACAAATAGAATAAACAGCGGTGCGCATCAGGGCAGTCGGTGCAATCATATGTTTTGTGCAATTCCGCCCACCAAACGATTGCCTGCTAATGACTTTCATTGATTTGCATTTTGGCCTGTGCAAAAATAGTTGAAATGTTGTGTGGTTCCCAATTTGCGGAATTTCCCGCTAAAAATTTCACGCGTCGGCAAGTGAAAGCTGAATTTGAAACATCGAAGGGTGAATATCCTTCCAAAATTTCAATCTCTTAAGTTTCTGGCATTCGGGTGATTTTTGCGATAAAAATTTCGTGTGTTCTTACGCGAGAACTCGGCATACTTAGGGACTGAATTCGAGTTTGTGAAACCCCTACTTAGGCAGAAAGCATCCTCCTGAAATTTTCAGCTTTTTAGCTGTTTTTGTCTCTTGAGATAATCTGGCTCCCGAGATAGTTTTTTCCGTCAAAACTTCCACGAGAACGTTGGAAAATTTGCGGAAACGTAAGTAGATAGGGGATGTCACGCTGAAACTTCAGCTTTAAAGCCTTTACAGTTCACGAGATAATAATTTTCCTGCCAAAACTTTCACGGGGCCGTAAGTGGTACCCAAGGCTGCGTGAAGGTTGAATCCAAATTTGCAGGGCCGTATTTTGATAAGAAACATCACTCTAAAATTTCAGATTCTCAACTTTCGTGGTTCCCGAGATAATTTTCCCCGCCAAAAATTTCAAAGGGCCATAAGTGATAGTCGGATGCGCAGGAAAGTCCGAATTTAAATTTGCGACATTGTATGTGGGGGAGGACATTACTGCAAAATTTCAGCTTCCTAGCTATTATGGTTTCCAATAATTTACCCGTCAAAACTTTCACGGGACCGTAGGTGGTGCTCAAGAGCGTGGGAACGCTGAATATGAATCTGCGAGATTGTACGTGGGCAGGGAATCACTACCCCAAAATTTCAGCTTCCTAGACTCCGTGGTTCCCGAGGCAATTTTCCCCACCAAAACATTTACGGGCTGTGCACGTCAATTGCGAACACAGGAAGGCTGAATTTAAATTTGCGGGGTGGGGAACATTTCCTTAAATTTTAAACTTCCTAGCCTCTGTGGCTCCCGAGTTGAAAGTCGCGCACAAGATTCATCGGACACACACACACAAGCAGACACAGACAACCCCATAACTATATGCGTTTTGTGCAGATGTTACATAGCAAAAAATGCATAAAAATTAGCAAAAGTAGAGCAAAATCCAAAAAAAAAGCAAAGTAGCCGAAGAGTGTTGCAATGAATAAAAGAACGAAAAACCCGGGCCAAACAGTCAGTTCCTCCTTGCCCCCCCCCCTCAACCAAAAAAAAAAGATCACTCTGATTAAGTGCCGGACTGGCAAAGGAATGTTATTAGACCCAGAAAGGACGACCATTCCTTATTTTCACTAAAGACTGAAGGCTCAAAGCACCACTTCAACTATCGAACAACTTTCTGTTCTCTCCGGGAATGCTCAACCAGAATTTCCGTCCAGATAAACCTGGAAATTTCGGAAAACTAGCCAGAATAACATTAACAGACAGCTGTTTTTAAAATCACGGAATTAACGAGAAATCTCAAAGCGCTTCCAAAACACCCACTGAATCAACAATTTTTGAAAATTACATGTACTACCGACAAAGAGCTTTTGGCAATTCATATGCATCAGCAGGCTTTAAAATAAGGCCGCCAAAAACTCAAGCGTTCAATAACATCCAAGCCTTTTTTAAATGCGAATCAATCAGATTCAGATAGCAGCGAGTGTGCAAATGGTGAAATTTGTGCGCGTTCTACACGGTAACAGATGTACTACCTCAATGGTGGAGGCATGAACTAACCATAAGTGCAGATGATTTTCGATACTTCACGGAACAATAAAACAGCGCTGCATGAAGACATCTCGAACTGCAAACGCTGCTGGCGATTCTGACATAACTCGGCCAGCAACTTCAACGCTGGGCTGGTCACATCCGTACAGTCAGCCCAAACATCCACTGAACTAAGCAGGATCGAAAAGACGTTCGGATACCTATAACACATCGCTGTACAGCTCATTTCAGCACAGTTCCGCCCGAATGAGGCTCATTATCAGGGAAGCCAAACAAGTGCTGCTACGACTCCGTGGTATTTTTTCTCGCTCTATGCTCAGTTGCTTCATACTACAACCGTGCTGTCCAGTCATAATCACGACGGATTTCAGTGTCACTGCTCTCCCTCTGCACACAGCACGGAATGTACAGTGGGGCTCAAAATGCCTTCACATGAACAAACAGAAAATCAGATGAACTGTCAAGTGAATTACCGCAGGGCGACAGTTCGCTGCGTGTTCAACACAGAGAGTGGGATGTATCAGGCGAGTGAAATTTCTGAATTCGCCAGTAATTTCTTGCTAAACATCAGGGGGGAATGGTAATTTTAAATTACGCCATTAAAACCAATCGTCTAGGCTGTTAGTTTGTTCATCAAAAAGTCTCTCCCACAAGAAACTGTTTAACGAAAGCGTGAGAACGATGAGCACCGGAGGCACAGTCTATAGAAGAGCCGCTTTTGGTGCGTGGCTGCACATAAGTATGATCAACGGCAATTACTAAAACTCGGCTCGGCTCGGCACGGCACGGCTCGGCTCGGCTCGGCTGGTGTCTTACACG